CCCCAAAACCCCAAAACCCCAAAACCCCTCTGGTGTGAATTATATTTGATATAATATTTTAATTTCTAGTTCATAAATGAAAGAAGAAAAGGAACCTAAGGGTAAAGCTAACATTTCAGATACCAAAGCTCTTGCTTAGAAGGATTTAGCCCAACCTTTGCCTCTTCAGGACTGTCATTTTAGTCCTATCAAATTCTAATGAATAAATTTGAGATGAGAATAAGACATTACGATTAGAAGTTGCCAACTATTGTCATTGCTTCAAGTCATAGTCTAAGACATTAAGCCTGATCTGATGAAATCAACACTTTGTACAAATCATCTAAAAATAAGTGGTATCTTCCAGGATGTTATGTTAAGAATGCTATAAAATACACACCAAAATGATTGGTCTAACCCCTAGCAAATTTATTCTGTCTATGCTAATGATCCTTTCAGGTCCGAACCATTTTAGGCAGCTTTGCTATTTTAAACCAGCTAGTTTACAACTTCTCTAATTTTTCTGTATGATCTATAAGCAATTTTAGAGGATGCTAAAATTTCAAAATATTATCATTTTCTGTAAAAAACAAGTCTTAGAGTATACCCAAATTGATTGCATTCATCTTAGGTAATTGGCATAATCAAATGCTTTAATTGTTTGATGTACTAAATAAGTTACTAAAGTAGGACCTACAGATAGCCCAGACATTCCGACAGATAGATGGAATGCTCAAGAACACTAGATGTTCTCTGATTGTATGAACTCATCCATATCTAGGCATTAAAAATATGGGAAAAACTGTCCCGAGCTAAAAAAGTGAGTGCCATCTCGGACAGGTAGTCAAGTGAGAGGTTATGCTCATAACTATTTCAACAATATCCAGAAAGAGTTCAATCCCTCAAATCCTGGAGATTGCATCATGCAAGGGCAAGATCCGAGTAAGTTTTGTCTCAGCCATTAATCTAAATGGATCTCCATCTTCTTCCTTAGTATTTGTGGCATTTTTAAGCCATATTACATTCTCTGAAAAGAAACAAAAATACCTGCTCAGTAGCCATAGCAATTTGTGTGGGAAGCTATCTATTCAAAAGATAAGATATTATATGAGCTATTGTCGATTTTAATACAAAGCCTGAATAAGATTTTAAAGAGTTCACCTACAATATCATTTTAGTCATAGGCAAAAATCAAATGGAATCCCAAAAAATTACCTCTAGTTTCTCCAACTCAAAAGTATTTATGTTATGCTTAGTTGTAGCCAAGAAGATGAATGAAGGACGATCAGTAGTCACTCTAATCAGCCCAACAGTGTTAGAAGTCAGAACAATCTTAACCCTTATGAAAGACTAAAGCGAAAATAGGATGAATAAAGATATGTCCTATAACCTATCTTCCGCACAGAGACTTCGACCTTCGAACAAATACTTTAAAGATCAGAGTGGTGACCCCCAAGATACTTCTACTACTCTTGAAGCTGCATATGTTTGACTCAATAAAGGTGAGGTTTCTATTCGAGCCAATGAGATCGAGACTGTGGTTCCTTGAGATATAGAGAAAAGAGCTCTTCCTAGGTAAATCTTTTATAATCTTTAGTGGAATGCCAATCACTAGGATTTATCCAAATCAACAGGTAAACATCTTGATTTTGCCTATGTAGACCAAATCAAGTGACATGGTCTTCTATCACGAAACTAAAGAGTTTAATGAATCAGCTAAAAATGATCAACAAAGATGCCAGTCGAGCTTCATGGCTCAGCTCAGTCCCTTCCATCAAGGCCTGATTCGAACATTAGGTGAACTGTATTGTCTCAGAGAATATAAAGTAAACTGATTTGAGAATTCTGACGAGCAACAAAATTTTCTTATCAATAGCACTATTGCTCAGAATGGAGATGTGATTGAGAGCTATCTGTCATCCTCTTCTAACCGAGACTCTATTGCTCTTACTAGTCAGAACAATTCCAATGGTTCCCAAAAAGTGTATCTAAATGAGGATAATAAAAACTTTTTCGGAAACCTCTTAATTCCCAGAAAATATTCAAATTCAGATAAAATAGAGCACATATTATAAACTCTCATCTTATTTGAAACCCCATGAATTTCTTTAAACCACAAAAGCAATATACTAATTCACAATTAATATCTGATCTATGGGGTTTTGGGGTTTTGGGGTTTTGGGGTTTTGGGG